CGAACATCTTTTCTCCTCTCTTTTCATCAGATTTCGCACTTGACGTAAATCCGACGGGTTCCAAAACTCTATAAATTGCCTTTCTCCTTTCTTTCAATTTTTCAAGATTTAGAGAGAGAGAGAGAGAGAGAGATAATAGTCTAGTAAGAGAAGAAGAGAAATAAAGGAGAACAGTGAAGTAGAAAATATCGAGATTTCGGTAAGAAATCTAGTATTTCTTTCGACATCTTAAGAAATATCTTTAGATAAACTAATTTAATATGATTGTGATTTTGCCTGTTTTGTATGCTTTTGTGTTCACATGAGTCGAATTATTGTTGTTTTTAAGCATGTTATGTGAATTGCAGACACTTCATGAATTTGCATATAATAAATATAATATGTAATCGATAAAAGTAAAAAGTATAAAAAAAAGAAAAGAGAAAAGTGGAATGAAGTTTGTATGGTCCAAAGTGTATCTGTATTGATATGCATATTGAATCAAGTGTCTCGTTAGACTTTTTATCTGTAAAGGGTATCTGTTGCCCTTACCCTTCGACGTATCTATTTTCTCTTACTCTATCTGGTCTGGAAAAACGTAAGAGGACGACTCCTAGTCGATGACGGTGTACCCTCTGACGAGAGTGGTATCACACTATCTGTAGAGATCACCTGTGGCTAAGTAATGTTGTGACTATAGATATCTGTTAGAGCCACTATGGCTGGTGCAGCCGAGATCATAGATCGTAATATGGTTTGACCAGCAAAAAATGGGTTTTAGCAAATTGCCGTATCTATATCTTATCTAATCATTCCACATGGGTAGTTGCAAATTTGTATCTACCATAAGAGATGAAAAATTGTAACGACTTCGCGAAACATGACACGAAAATCTGAACATTTTATAATTTATTTGATTTTCTCTATTGTCTGTCATGATGTACGTTTGGTTGTCTGTATTAACATACCATTTTCCTAACAAATAAATGATTTTTCATAATGTGAGATAAATAAACGAGAATGTTAAATGACAAACTCTT